ATAGATTAATCGTGACTAACATTTAAAAGTTAAATAACCTAGCGTTGCACGAGTGTTTATTTTCTATCAATCTCCTATCAGACATTAGAAGGAATGAATTATACTTATATTGTAAAATCGAAGGAATTTTATTGTCAGGTATTTAAAAGAGTATGTATACTATGCAAATTAGGAAGTAAAATTTGTTACAAATTCATTACATTATTAGAAAAATTAAATCAAAGTTTGATTCTAAACATCACTTTTAGTTTCACATCCAGAAGCATGAATAAGTAGAGTTCTGTGTGAACCCATCCTTGAGCAAACAACATAAAATTGTCAAATAGGGTAGGAAACACGATCAAGTAAAATAACAAAACGGGCGGATTCTCCCACAGTACTCCCACTGAACGGCAGTAGTACGTCAGTGGCATTTTAAGCAGAGCAACTACAGTCGCCCGTAGTAGCGAATGGATTAATATGGCCATTGGGTACGTCATCTGCAATGCAACGCAATAGAATGAAAAAAGAATGAATAAACTTGGAGAATAATAATGAAACAATACTAAAACAAATTCAGATATAAGCTTTCAAATTTGAGACCTAAAACATAATGTTATAATAATTATAATGTACTATTTTTTTATTGTATTCGTAAATTTATGTAATTATATTGATTGATTAAGTAATTTTTTTCTCAGAAAGCTTCTTGATTGATTGATTGATTTTTCATTTATTCATTGCTGTGTCGCAGCCAGGTTGTGACATAAAGAAATTCCTATTCTGTGACTAGTAACTAGCCATGAAAATCTGGATAGTAAAAAATGGTTATTTATTGTTTTCTTACTGGACACATTTCTCTACTTGGATTATTCCTATTATAATTATAAGTTATAATCGTTGATAACAACAAAATTGTCATGTTTGAATTAAATACATGCTTGTATTACTTTAGACACGAAATATCTTCGTCTCATAAACATAAATTATTGCTAATGGATATAGCTAGTGATTTGTATCAGATTTAATTTTCATACAATTCTCTGACAAAAATATTATGTATAACTCAGTTAATCAGTGGCCAAGAAATTATGGTGATGTCTAGCGAAACGGCGGAACACCAGCACCATATATTTATAAAAATATATGACTACATAATGACCAGTTTTTAATGATCAGTAATTTTCTAGCCAGTATGTTATACCTAGTTACTAGCCATTTACTAGTGATGTATGAGAGGGCGGATAAAGCATTCGCACGATTAATGTAAAACGGTTTTATTCACAAACGTTTAAGAGGAAACATTTCATGATAGAACTATAATTGTGCGATGAGGCGAGCGATCGACCACACTCGAGGAACCGATATTACGATCTGCACATTCGCTTTGTTGTAAGACGTCCAAGCAACGACTTTCAGTTGGACCTTCATTATAGTGTTTAGCTCGCTAAATAATTTGCTAGTCGCGAATCGTTGACGGCAATCAGAATTCCTAAAAATCTTTTGGAATATTGGTGGGTTTCGATAATAAGTAATAGGTGTATAATTAAAAGTCAATTTATTAACAACAAAAACTTAACAAAAATCACTGAGGTCTGTCTCTCGGCTCGGTCGTACTCGAAGTGACTTCGCCCTCCAGACGACGTGACCTCATCCCTTATAAACACTATAGATCCCATGAGTGGGGATATTCGGAGAAATAGATATTAGGCGTTAAGCACGAAGAAAAACAGATGCCTCGCTGCATCTTCGCTTTCAAACCTCGCCTAATAAACACGGCTATCGCCACATCACCCCCTTATCAGCGATAGTGCCAAAAAGAAAAAGAGAAAAAAAAACTTCAGCACACATAAACTTATCTTATACTTATGCTAATGTATACTTAAATATGTTAGACTAAACAATTCCGACTTGCAATCGCGCTGGAAACTTAATACTTCGTCCAGACCTAGTTTTATAATTATTTGTGGTTTCTTTCTTAGAATCAGTCAACTGCGTATCATCCTCAACAATATCCTGTTGAGGTTCGGAATCCAAAAGACTATCAGTATCATTTAAAACAAAGGCAGGTTTCAACCGATCAATAGAAACTTTAACTTGTTTCCCATTGACCTCGATAACAAAAGTTTTCGCAGAACGTTCTAAAACCTTAAACGGTCCGTCATAAGAAGGCTGAAGAGGACCTTTGACAGCATCACGACGAAGAAAAACGTATGGCGACGTAGCGAGATCTTTGAAAATAAAGGTTTTCTTTAAACCATGACGAACGACAGACTCGGGTCTAAGGGTCTTAATAAATTCACGCAATTGTCGTACAAAGTCCGATGAACATGTAACCCTGCCCATAGCAAAAAACTCGCCAGGTAGCCGTAACGTGTTTCCATACACCATTTCTGCCGTCGTTGCATTTAAATCGTCTTTAAAAGCTGACCGAATACCAAGTAAAACTACAGGTAGAATCTCTACCCATTTTTCGGTCGCGTGACATTTTATTGCTGCCTTTAACTGTCGATGAAACCGTTCAACCATACCATTTGCTTGAGGATGATATGCCGTAGTTTTTAAATGTGTTGCACCTATTAGTACCGATAATTCTTTAAATAAATTCGATTCGAATTGACGTCCTTGATCAGTCGTAATACGCAAAGGTACACCAAATCGAGATATCCAAACATCTAGGAAAGCTCTAGCAACTGTTTCTGCATCCATTTCCGCAATAGGTGCTACTTCCGGCCAACGAGAGAATCGATCAATGCAAGTAAGGCAGTATTTATAACCTCTGGATATTGGCAAAGGACCTACAATATCGATATGAATATGATCGAAACGACCAGAATTTTTAAAATCAACAATAGGAGCTGAAACATGTCTGGTAATTTTCGCTCGTTGACAGGAAATGCAACATTTCGCCCATTCTCTACAATCCTTGTTAATAGACGGCCAAACAAAACGGTCGGTTACGAGCCGTAAGGTCGCACGAATCCCAGGATGAGAAAGTCCGTGCAGGGCTTCGAAAACCGTCCGTCGCAATGGCTCAGGTATAAAAGGTCTAACAGACGCTTTAGATGAGTCACAATACAAAGAAACGTTAAACATTGGAAAATGAATTTTCGCAAGACGCAACGAACTAGAATTGGATTGCAGAATATTTTTTAACTCTTGATCGCATTCCTGAGCTTGTTCGAGTGTTTTATAATCGGGTACTGTAATTACCGATTCAACTCGCGATAACATATCCGCTACACTATTTTCTTCGCCCTTAATATATCTAATATCAGTACAAAACTGACTAATGTAATCTAAATATCGAAACTGACGAGGTGAACATTTGTCTAACTTTTGCTTAAATGCGAACGTTAATGGCTTATGATCTGTGTATATAACGAAATTTCGTCCTTCAACAAAATGTCTAAATCGCTTAACTGCAGCATAAACAGCTAATAATTCACGATCATACGCACTATATTTTCTCTGCGAAACAGAAAGGGCTTTTGTGAAAAAGGCAAGAGGTTGCCAAATATCATTAACAAGCTGCTGAAGTACAGCTCCAATCGCATAATCTGAAGCATCTACAGTAATGTTAATAGGTGCACCTGGTATAGGATGCACCAACAATGAAGCATCAGCAAGTGCCTGTTTAACGTCACCAAAAACCTTTTCTGCTTTTTCTGTCCAAAGGACAGGTGCATTGCCCTTTTTCGCCCCTTTAAGCAGGTCATTTAAAGGCTGTAATAAATGTGCAGCACGAGGTACGAAACGGCGGTAAAAATTAACCATACCTAGAAACCTACGCAATGCTTTAACAGTTGAAGGCTTAATAAAATTGGTTATTGCCTCGACTCGTTCAGGAAGAGGTTTAATTCCGTCGCTGTTTACAACAAATCCTAAGAAAGTGATTTCACTAACGCCAAATACGCACTTAGAAGGATTAATTACTATTCCGTACTGCGAAAATCGATCAAATACAATTTTTAGATGTTTCTTATGCTCAGCCTCATTTTCCGATGCTATAAGAAAGTCATCTATATAAGCAAATACGAAATCAAGCCCACGGATAACCTGATCAACAAAACGTTGACATGTTTGCGCAGCATTTCTTAAACCAAACGGCATAAAAACAAATTCAAATAAACCAAAGGGAGTTATTACAGCTGTCTTTTCACAATCACGAGTTGCTACTGGAATCTGATTATATGCACGAACTAAATCTATCTTACTAAAAATAGTTTTGCCATTTAAATGATAAGCAAAATCTTCAATATGAGGAGGTGAATATCTATCCGGTATAGTTCGCGAATTCAAAGATCGATAATCACCACATGGACGCATTGAATTACCGTCTTTCTTGGGTACCAGATGAAGCGGTGAAGCCCATGGACTCTTCGACGGCCTGATTACCCCTTGTTGCAGCATCAGGTCAAATTCGGCCTTGGCTACTTGCAAACGATCCGGAGCAAGGCGACGTGGCTTGCTATGCACCGGCGGTCCTGGGGTCGTCTCGATATAATGTTGAACATCGTGTTTGACGGTTTCTTTACCGAAAACAGGTGGGCGAGTAAGATCCGGATACTCGGCTAAAAGCTTGTGATAAACCGAATCACCCACGATTGTTTTAACAGTAACCATGTTATCACTAGCTAATTTGCCAACCACAAAAAGATTCGTTGACGCGTCCATCAAACGTTTATTCCGGGCATCCACTAAAAGATTATAATATGATAGAAAATCGATGCCAATAATCGGAGTTTGTACATCTGCGATAACGAAACGCCACACAAAATTACGACGTAAAGATAAATTCAACGTTAACACAATGGTTCCATATGTCGCGATACGAGTACCATTTGCCGCGTGTAGTTCATAATCTAATTTATGTTGTTTTCCTTGCACTCGCGACCGCGGAAAAACGCACAAATCTGCACCCGTGTCAATTAAAAAATTTACACGTGTGTAACGATCAGTAATAAAAATGCGACCGGTTGTAGGACCATCGAGTTCGGTCGCGTTTACATACGACGGTCTTACGCGTTTCCCGGTTTAGGTCCATCCCACTTGCACGGTGTGGTACATCGAGTAGCCCGCTCGGCAAATTTATAGTGATACCAACACAAATCGTGTTTGACACCATCCTTCTTCTTGCCATTATTTCTCTGCTTCGGAAAACGTTTCCACGGCCGATCACGGGAAGACGAGCGACTTCTTGATCGTTGATTAAGGACTTCGTCGAGTTTCAAGCGCATCTCCTTTAATTCTTCACGCAGGCACTCAATCTCAGAAGAACGCGAAGCAGCAGCAGCGATATTAGTATCTTTCGATACTGGAATTTCGTGTACGCGATCTGCGATTTCGGCCAATTTAGCTCCAGCCGTGTCCGACGTTGCAGCTAACACTAACTGCGTCTTTGACGGAAGACGATTTTTCCACAATTCCACGAGGAACTCGTCGGTTACAGAGGGGCCTGCCAATTCCTTTAAACGACGCCAAAATTGTGTCGGTGTTCGATCGCCGATTTCTTCGGACTCCAATAATTTTCGTATGCGCATCGCACCAGAGTCCGATAAGCGCTTCATTACTGCACTCTTAATAGCATCATATTTGTGCGTTTCGGGTGGATTACAAATAATATCCTCGACTTCTTCAGCGTATTTCCCTTCCAGATGTCCCACAACATATCCATACTTGGTCTCATCTTTTGTAATACGGGAAATAACAAACTGGGCCTCTAATTGTTTAAACCACAAAGCTACTTTTTGTGGCCAAAAGGGAGGCACACGCACGGGAGCCACTGTAGTATAGACTACTTCCTTCTGTTCCTCAGCAGCGTCGGTAGACACAGATATATCGGCTTCCTTATCCATTGTGTTAGATGTCATAACCGTTTTCTGACAAAGAGTGTAAATTCAATCACACTATCACTAAATCACAC